CCAAGAAGGCGTGGAAAATTATATTTAAAGTCTATAGACTGTGGGACATTCATAATTATAGTTGGTCATTGTTCCCTTGCCATTTCAGTGGGCAGAGCTAAGAAGTATGTACATGCATACATAATACATCAACAGTGTCTAGGGTTTTTGTTTTACTTCAGCAATGCATATGTATTTGCTCTACCCTATAATAAAATACTTATCAGTGACACCAAGAGTGATAGAATGACAGTCACATAATTGTTCAGTTGTTTCATATTAGAGTACACATAACAGATTCAGCACAACAGTAACACTACTATCAGCAAATAACATGATTACTGTAAACTGTGTGATTATTTTAACAGGTCTCTTTTCTTATATCACATTGGAGATGTACAATTATATTTTGACTTGAACTCGTTACTTTCTGCATAATTATTATACCTTTAGTAGGATGTACATTTAGATCATATTTACTTTTTTCCTTGAGAATTCCTTTTGAAGTTTGAATAGGGAATTAAATTGCCTATGAATGCTTAACTATACCCTTTGATTCTGAGAAGGTAGGCAACTAATGAAACTTGTATCCATTGTCTCTAAAAGAAGCTGTAGAAGCACCTTGGGCACCTTTCCAGCTCTTCCCGGATTGTCTATTCCCAATGTAATTGTGTTTGAAATTAATTTCTATAATACTTATCTCCTACAAATTCAGATACACATATAAGTGTACTTTCCAAAAATAAATGTTTCATCTTCACCTTGGCTCCTCTATATACATAATTAATAATCAGTTGACTTTTTTGAGTATATGCAAACACAGATGTGGATATATTTGTAGCAAACTTCTTTGGCACAAGAACATGGTCAGAAAGGCAAGAGTTAATATTTATGTGACTTTGTGAGCTGACTTGGACCTGAGTTTTACTTTTAAAAAATCTACCCCTCATTAAAAAATATGCCTCTGTCGTGAATATATATTTCACCTCTCACAAGATACTATAGGGGGATATTATTAAAAATCAGTGTGAAACAAGACTGTTTTTTGTTAAAATTAAATTTAGGGAACGAAATGAAATGGACTCTCATCCCTTAAAAATCATGACACTGTGAAAAAATACGGATTTTTTTTCAGAACATGTCAAGTAATAATTAGCTAATTTTATATTTTGAGGTAAATGCAATTAAGAAAAAATTAAAGTAATGTAGAATACCCATAATATTCAGCTAAAACACCTTTATTACTTCCCATATGTCATTCTCCTTGCTGGGTAATTTATCTGTTTTTCTCATTTAAATCTTAGGATACTCTGACTGGGTTGCTACTAATGTATATTACGCCCATTTTATAAATTTCTTTAAGAAACTAAACCCAAAAGACATTGTTACTAAACAAAGATCACTTTGTTAGGTTGCTGTTTATTGTATGTTAAGCAATTGCAGATTTTAAAAATGGCAGCTTTTATTTAAAAATTGCAGTTTTAAGGAGTCCAGTTTAATTGATAACGATCAACTTGGTACTTATGTAAGGATGCATTAATTTAAAAGTATAATATATACTTACTAGCTTGAAATTGTTGAAAATAATAAAAGTATGAGATCTTGATAAATTACTTAAATATTAATGTTTTCATTATATTGTAATCTATAGCAGTGGTTGAAATGTTAGATATTTCAAAATATATCACAATAAATGTTTAGATAGATAATGGTTACAATAATTTATCAGTACTAATTTTTCATATTTTGAAAGTAATTTCATTGTTACACTTTACATACACATAATGATAACATTCATCATAGAGAATTTGCACCTGTACAAAATACAGCTTCATTCTTTTTGTTTCTCCATTCCGCCCCACTTTAAACCATCTTCGCCTCCTTATTTACAAAGCTTTGTTTCAAACTTTTCTATTCTCTTTTTGCTTTTCCCTTCTTTCCTTTCTTTCACCCCTCCTCTTCCCTTGTTCCTCTTCCATTTGGAGGTTTTGTTCCTATTTCCTAATATCTATTATACATTTTGGTTTTTATTTACCCTTTTGGCTTCTCAAACCAGAGAAATAATGGAATGTTTAAACATGTGTGTCCAATTTATTTCACTTCAAGAGTGTGATCTCAAGGTGCACACATTTACCTAAAAATGTCTCAAGTTATCTTTCTTTATGGCAGAGTAGTACTCCATTATATGAAAAAAAAAACACATCTTCTTTATCCATCGATATTTGGGTTGTTTCCAACATTTAGCTCTTATAAACTGTGCCACCATAAACGTGGGTGTGCATATATTGCTGTGCTATGATGTTTTTAATTCTTCCAGGAAGATACCAAGAAGGGGAATAGCTGGATCAAATGAAAAGTGTAGTTTTTGGAGGAATCTTCACACTGATTTATTTCCACAGTGGTTGACCCAGTCTGCACTCCCAACCGGTCAGCATTTGTTATTGGTTTACTGGAATAACCAGAAAGAATAGCCATTCTTTCTAAAATGAGATGAGATCTCTGTTGTTTGTTTTCATTTGCATCTTTCGAATGACCAGTTATCAGGGACCAATATTCTGCCAGGTGTTACAGTGCTTGGCAGAACGGGCAAGAGATAAAATGACTATATAGTGGGGATCTGAGATGACCAGTTGTTTATGGGGAACAAAAGGCTGTGGAGGCAGCCAGATCCTTGGAGTTTATTGATTGACAAGGGGATTATCGGATGACTCAGAGAGCAGAGCTGCTATTATGCTAAAAAAGATCTTGCCGTGGAGTATCTTTAGTCGTAATAGATTTAGCCTTAGTGATTTAAGTCTTTGTCTTAGTAGTTTTAGTCTTAGTAGGTAGGAGAGAATGGCCCACCCCTAGTGAGATAATGGGAATTCTCAAAAGGGCAATACTAAAAATCCCAAGCCATTGTTCATCCCTAGGGGAAGTATGTAAAACTAGCCATTGTGAATTGGTGGTTCTCAACAAGCAATGATGTTGAAATTTTTTTCATATCTTTATTTGCCATTTCTGCTGCTTCGTCTGACAAGTGTGTATTCATTTCAGATGACCATTGTTGGATTGGGTCTTTAAAACTGGGAGTCTGCTTTGATTTCTTTACATATTTTAGATACTAGTCTTTTGTCTGAGGGACAGCTGGCAAATTTTTTTCCTACTCTGTGGGTTATCTCTTCATTCTTTTCGTGGTTTCTTTCGCTGTGCAAAAGCTTTTTAATATGATGAGATCCCAGTTGATGATTCTTTGTAATATTCCCTGTGTGATCCGGGTTTTGTTCATAAAGTCTTTGCTTACATCTATGTCTTCAAGCGTTTTACCTATTCTATCTTCCAGCAAATTTAATGTTTTAATATTTAGATCTTTGATCCACTTTGATTTTAGTTTATGTATGATGAGAGATATGAGTCTAGGTTTAATATTTGGTATGTGGAAAGCCAGTTTCTTCTGTCCTGTTCCATTGGTCCTCAGGTCTTTTTTGTGCCACTACCATGCTGTTTTTATCACAGTAGCTTTATAATTTCCAGTCAGGGATTGTGGTGTTTGCTGCTTTTTGCCTTTGTTACCCAGAATTACATTTGCTATTCTAGTTCTCTTCAGGTTCCAAATGAATTTTAGGATTATTTTCTCTAATTTTATGAGGTACGATATTGGTATTTTGATCTGGATTACATTAATTCTGTATAACAATTTTGAGAGTATGGCAATTTTTACTACATTTCTTCTTCCTACCCAAGAGAAAGGAATATCTTTCCATTTTTTGATATTCTCTTCGATCTCCTTTTTTCAGAGTACTATAGTTTTCCATGTAAATGTCTTTACTTCCTTCATTAGATTGATTCCTAAGTATTTCTTTTTTTTTTCAATGCTATAAAGAAAGATGTGGTTTTCTCCTTTCTGTCTCAGTGCATTTGTTCTTTGTGTACAGGAATGCAATTGAGTGTTGATTTATGTATCCAGCTGTGCTACTGAATTTGGTTGTTAAATCTAGAGGTCTTTTGGTGGAGTTTTGGGGTTCTTCTCTGTGGAGTATCATGTCATCTGTAAATGATGATAATTTAACTTCTTCCTTTCCTATCATTTTTTTTATTGATTTATCTTTTCTAATTGCTCTGGCTTATATTTCCACAACTACATTGAAAAGGAGTGATAGTAGAGGGCATCCTTGTCTTATTCCTGATTGTAGAGTGAAAGTATTTAGTTTTTGACCATTTAGTATGATATTGGCTGTTAGTTTGTCATAGATGGCTTTTATCAGGTTGAGATCTTTTCCAGTTTTCTGCAGACTTTATTATGAATGGGTGCTAGATTTTGTCAAATGGTTTTTTCTTCATCTATTGAGATAATCATATGGTGTTTGTCCTTGGTTCAGTTAATATAGTGAATTACATTTATCGATTTGTGTTTTTTGAAACATTCTTACATCCCTGGGATGAAACTTACTTGATCCTGGTATATAATCTTCTAAATGATTTAGTGCATTCTGTTTGCAAATATCTCCTGGAGAATTTGTGTCTGTATTCATTAGGGAGATTAGCCTTTAGTTCTCTTTTTTGGTTGGGACCTTCTCTGGATTTGGTATCAGGTTATAATTGCTTCTAGGAATGACTTTAGGAATATTGCTTCTTTTTCAATTTCATAAAAGTGTTTGAGGAGTAGCTGTATTAGAGGTCTTCTCTAAATTTCTTATAGAATTCAGAAATGAAGCCATGAGGACCTGCACTTTTCTTTGTTGGAATATTTTTAATTGTATCTTCAATAAAAGTATACTTAATGTATATGTACTTTATTATGTTTATTTAAAGTTGGTAAAATTAGAAAATATGCTTAAGCAAAAATAAGATATTTTGACCATGCAAGCTAACTACTATTAATATTTGGTTAATAGTTGTCTAGATGTTTTTCCCATCCTTATTACTGTGTTTACGGGAAATGTCAAGTTTTTTTCCAAATAATCATATAATCGTTAAGAAAATATTTTAAAAAGAATGCTTGATTTTTTTGAACCTAATGTATGTGTTTCTTTTTTTTTTAGGACTGCACTGTATATGAAACAGAGAATAAAATTCTTCATGTGGTATGTATACTTAGCTTTATTTTCATCTCCTTTACAAAATATTTCTGTATTTAAATAGTAAACAAATACAAATCTACAAGTTGTAAATAAATGAGCAATAATAAAAAAATCTGACTATATCAGTTAAGCATATTTTTAGGAAATCTACAATGAATCCAAGCATATGAGTTGTAACCTATTTTGTCAAATACAGAAACATAAAATATTTGAAGATTGTAATATGTAGCAAGGTTGAAATGTAATCAAACAATCAAGATAAAAGAGAATTTGAAATACAAGTTTTAATTGTCTATCTGTGACAAAAAATGGTCAGAGGGAGGTATTCTGCTCTACTGTATGAACCGTTCATCTCCAGCATCATTTGGATAAAATATTTTATAAGATAATGAAATTTTATTTCCTGTTTTTATATTCATTAAACAAACTTCTAATTACTTTTAGTAGGATATGAGTACATTATACATTTCGAAAACGTAATTTGTTTCTTGTCAGTGTCCAACTGGCTGCTTTTGTATATAAATCCATTTTTTGGTCAGTGGTGCTCTGTTATGACAGCTTCTTCACTTCTGGCATGAAATTATGGCACTTTGCATCTGTCTGGTAGTAGATGATAAAGATCCATATTTGTTACCTGTTTTATTCCTAAAGTTTATGAGTTTTATATGTCCGAAATGTTTGAATATTTATAAAATAATATTTCAAATTTAGAAAGGAAGCATTTAAAACATCTTACCTAAATCGATAGGGGGGAAATAATAATTCAGAGTTTCATCAGTGCAGTAATACTGTTCTTTTATGTTACCTGGTACATACATAAGTAATACTGAATACTCCTCTTCCCTTTATTGTACAGCAATAATGGCGTTGGAGGTTTATTGGGATGGTGTCAGGAGAATGTACAGTTAATGTATTTTTCTCCTTGGTAGTCTAGAAAGGAGAGTAATTGCTACCAAACCCCTTTTGATCTAGTTAATAGAAACATATTTATTTAGGGTTTATATATTTATTTAGGGTTTATAAGATATATATATATATATA